TCTAGGAGCAAGGCTAAATGCAGCTCCCTTTGAATCTAAAACCTTGCTAAATTATTTAGTACTACATACCACAGACTGATTAAATTTTGCACAGAGTAGTGAGATTGTTTCCCAGGTAGGTCATCACTCAGTTCAGTTTACCACTTAAAATTTCTTTCATTCTCAGTCAAAGTACAGGAGGGGCCATCCATCATTATCACTTTGTCCTTTAATTTTTCTGTCAGCCTTTGTCAAGCTTGAAACAAAAGCCTTTACATTTTTATCAACTGCAGCTATTGTTGTCTGAATTGTGCTCAGTCATTTCAGAATATTGGTTGTGTTTTTATCAAACAAGTCAAATGTTTTCAATAGGTCAGATCTATCTTTCACATAAGCCCGCTAAACCAAACAGAACCATTTCTCATTTCTTTGGAAATGGAGAATAAAACTGCTTAGGGCCAAATTGGTGGTGAGAGTAAATTGTCCAGGCTCCCTGCGCTTAAATGGATTAATGTCTTCTGCCTTAGTAAGAAGAATGCAGCGTCAATTCAAGAAAGAAGGAGAGGCAAGCAGGAAATTTTGATCAGGCAGGGCTTGACAGTGTTTTGAGCTGATCTTGTACAACACTATTCTGCCATTCATAAACAAACTACATCTGTGCCTCTGCTAAAGAGCAGCCTCCAGACCAAGCCAAGCATTGCATGCTCCTCCTTTTTCCACTGTCAGATCACAATCAGCTATCAGGTTACCTGCTGTCTGCCTTCACCATGCCAGTGCTCATGTAGCTTGGTGGCATGCTAACAGACAGTAGTGACCATGAAGGACACCTTTCTAAAACCTTCCCCATACTTTTCTCTGCGACCACTGAACTATGACATTACATCAGGTCCTCACTGAAAAGAAAGTTCTTGGGCATTTGAGGCTCAGCCCAAACCCCCCTGTGCAACTAGAGAGACGTTAGGAGCTGTCTCTTTCATTGAAAATCCAATTCAGGTCTTACTTGTATAACCTGTGGGAACATATGTGAAAAAGAGTTGGGACTGGAGTCAGTAACTCCCCTTGGCATGAAGCCTAACTCCTTTTCCATTTCCAACAACTTTTATGGAAACAATTAATTCTCTCTGAATTGTTTATTTCAGAAGTAGCAAGGTGATGAAATGAATACCAACTTAAATACATAATTGAATTTTTGACTGAATATCTGTCTGTCAACAAACATTCATTTTAGGAGTGAGGTTTCAAAATTAATGGTTACAATTATTGCTTGACTTCTAGATTTCTGAGTATGACTTTTCTATCTTCTTTGGTTCCCCATCTGCAAAATACAGCTGTTTTCTGCTTCACAGAAGGCTAAGGATTAATACCTTAGTATTACTGAAATAGTGATCTGGTGCATTGATTTGGGTATGGCTACTTCAATTAAAAATTCCACTCTACAAGGTCTCTTGGTCATGATGATCCTCAGTATTTAGTGGTGTGAGAGTCATAATCAAAAATTTGTTTTCACCTGAATATTGTGTACAACTAGCTTCAGAAATTGCAAGGCCAGAAAACGGAATTAAATTTCACTTTAACACAGGCTTCTTGGGGAGAAATCTGCAAATCCATTCTGTTAAGATCCTTCTTGACAGAGAGCTCAGGAGGACAAATCTATGGAGTCTCTTTGATAGCGTATTTCTGAGCAGCTGCCAACAGGGAGCTCTGGATAACATAACGTGTGCCTTGCCAGTAGTGTAAGATAGATGTGCCCTGCAGTAAAAACAATGACCAAAAAGTCTTACAGGACTAGAAACAGGTCAAATTGTAATTCCCTTTTCTGGCATGCAAATGAAACAGCACACCCTCTTTAAAACACAGTGCTTCATATGCCTTAAACAGAAGGCTGTAGTGTTGAGTATTAGTGTGTACTTGTAGTCTGTCTGATTTTGGGAACTACCAAACCCTCTTAGCTCCTATACCTACAATACATGATGAAAGAATGAGGGGCACTGCACATTAGTTCTCTTTTTTCTGAAGTGAATATTCTGCAGTCTCTTATGCAAAAGCATTTTCAAGGCAAAGACAAGTAAAGTTTTCACAAGAACCCATAAACCTTTGGGGAAGTCTTTCTGTCAGACTTGGTAGGACTCAGGGGTCCTGTACATGTAAGTCTTTTGAATGTGGGGCTTGGGTGCTTTTCAGAATGCTAATCTATGCATGGATTTGGGCTATCCAAAATAGGGTTTAGGAATGGGATATAGTCCAAGAGTTCTAAAATGTGTTGTCTGGAGAGCTGAAAGCTGTTCTGTTACTTTACACATACATTCCTGTTGCACACTCTCATGTCTTTAAAGAAGCAAATCTACTGGCAGAGCCGCAAACCTAAGCAGGTATGTACCAGGCATTTCAAGAGTCCAGAGCAGACTTAGATTTCATTGCTTGGGCAAGGCAGTGCTCTTCAGGCTGCTGATTCCTGGTTGCTATCTTGTACTGTAGTCTTTGAGCGCAAGTAATTGTAATGCTGTGAGCAAAGCAGACCAACTGCAGTCATTTGCATGGTGAATTTCACCTTACTCTGGTAGGAAAGAAATAAAGCCAATGCTATTGCTTGTATTTACAGGGGTTTTTTTTGAGAACATATGTTTTTCTTTGAGGCTTCTGACAAGCTGCCATTTTGAAGTTTGGCATTAGAGTTTGTGACTTTGATCAGGAAACTAATTTCTGCACAAGTTTTCTTTATTCTTGATCTGATCAGAAAAGATTAATCTATCACATTTGTATTAAAATGCTGATATATCCTAGTTCTTGTTAACTAGCCTGTTTCCTAAGTAGCCTTTCTTTTAAAATAAGAGATCTTCAGTCAGAAGAGAAACCAGAAAGCAATGAACTTCTAAATTCACCAGTGACTCATTTAAGCTATTATGTGGTAAAATAGGTAGACAATGTGTTCGCAGAATGGAAAGCACTGTCATAAAACCATAACTGTATTTGCCAGTTGCAGTTAACTTGCCAATGCATAGTCTTAAGTAAATGGCATATTTAAGAAAGATAATTAATGGAACCAGAAGTAGCACTAATTAGGTTTTGCGTACAACACTGATTTCTAAAGCTTTCCTAATAAACAAGGCTTTGCTCTCCTTATGAAGTAGGTGGTTTTTTTCTGTTTGATTTCATTTTTAGCATATACTTACCGGGGAAGAAGTTTCCCTTTATGAGAAGCAATTGCATCGATCAGTACATGTGACATGTATCTTTTTAACATGTTAATTTATTTCTAATCCTTGTTGTACTCTGTTCTGTTTAATTATTGTGGTACTTGCACTCCAGGTAATGTTACCATTTTTTCCTGGTGATTAATGTGGCTACACTGTGGGTTTTTTTAAAAACCTGTTTTAATTTTTCTGGTTTGGGAATATTTTGTACAGAGAAACAGATTAAATATCAATGTACACAGATGAAAATGGGATCTCATGCCGTCATCTGATGGCTTTGAAAGTGAAAAATCCCACAAGTATAGATCCCAGAGAGAATAGTGCTGGTGTTTATCAAAACCAGAGGAATGCAGAAAATTGTAGGTGACTCATAGACGTTGATGGACAAGGAGACTTTTAAAGTGGCAAAATAATCTGTCATCCAGTCTGAAAATAAGGTAAGCATGCTAATTTGAAGTCTTAAGAGAGTAATTATGCAATGCTGAACTCAAGGACTCTCTGTCTGAAACGTGTTCTGTAGGTCCCAATACTGTAAAGCTCTGAGCTACTTCAGCTTCCATTGATTTCAGTTGGAATTGATGGTACTCCGAGACCAATTGCAGTTCTTTCCACAGCAAGGGAAGACAGATTGTGGGTCAGATTTTTACTCTTATTGCATTGAATAGGACCCTTCAGAAGTATTTTCACTGAAATCAGTGTGGAATGAGTTACTCACCATCAACTGCCAAGAAACTAGTCCTTTCCTTTTAAACCTGCAGTATAAATAATCTGAAAAATGTCAGATGCGTTTTATGTCCTCATGGAAGTGCTTTTCTGTAGTTCTCTTCAGGGCTTTTGTTTGTTTGTTCTTTAAAACCTGCAATCACCTTATAAGCAAAGTGATACTGGTCTTTATTGCTTTTGGCAGCATAATCAAAGTATTTTCTATCTGTACATCTGGTTATGTTCTGCTCTGTACTGGAGCATTTTGCAACAGACATTTTTGATTCCGCTACAATGAAGCACCGGTACACGTAAGGCTGGCATACCTGCACTTACTTGATCAAAAGCTGAAGGGTTTTGTAGGATGCAGTCATCAGGCCTATGCATTTTTTCTGACTTGTATACACAGGGTTTCTAATAGTAATATTATTACCATTTCTAATTTTTAGTTCTAAGCTGTTTTGGAGAAATAATGATGTATGTATTAACAATAAATTTGAAGTGTTAAGGATAACTAAAGATGACTCTACCTGATAATTAGGGTAAAGATTTTGAAATATACTCTGCTCTGGATCTTAGCAGACAACTGTGTCTTAAACAAATGTGTGGGAAGAAGAAAAGCAATCCGGAAAAAGCAGCTCTTATAGTTAGTAGCATTTTCTCCCCTTTTTCCTTCCATTGAGTCTGTCTGAAAGTGGGTGTTTTAACATACAGCCATTTCTTGTTAACATATGTGTGTTTATTTTAGCATGATGGTGTTGTTTTTTTCATCTCCCACTCTGACACAGCATGTTTCATCCGTATATGGTTTCTACTATATGAGACATTTAAAATGGCTCAGTGAAGAAATGGATTCTTGTCACTTAAACAGTCACTCTCCAGATCTGTGGAAACTTGGTCATTTTAACAGTGTTTTAAATTCGGTATGCTTGAAGATTGACTATAAAATTGAGAGTGATATAATGTCAAGAATTTAAAGGTACTCTGTTGTACCTGTAATAATTTATGTTAATCATGTTTTAATTTAGTCATTTTCAACATTCTTGTATTTACAAATTAAACCACTATTATGGTTCTCCTTTGTTTGCATGATATGATTTTATTTTATATTTTTTTTCCACTCACCAGATGTTTTCAACACTTTGCTTCCCACTACTGTCATCCCCTCCCTTACCACTGCAACAGTCACAACCACTGTAGCCTTAACAGCCAGCACAACCACATCGACAACAGGCATCAGCACCAGAGGTACAGTATGCTTCTTTGTTATGGCCTGAAAAACACATTATAAATAGGAAATTATAGGTTTGATTTTTAAGAAGGATAGAAATTGCTAAAGACAGGGTTCAAATACTTTAGTTCAATATATATATTTAATGGAATAATCCACAGGATGGTACATGGTTAAGAAAGATTTCATATGACCTTGAATATTTTCATTGCTCTAGCAGTGTGTGTGTGAACTTTGACAGGATGCTTAAATTATTTGTATACATTTGCATTTAATTTTTTTAAGGTTAGTAAATTAACTTTAATGTAAAATGCAAGCAAGCTATTTTTAAACAAACATGACCTTTTAAGACTGGTTATTTTGGGTGCTGATGTTTAAAACAAGATAGGTGTCTCAGCATTGGAATTACTGTTGATGCAATCTTGCATGATAACAAAGAGGCATTGCATTACTTCACCCTTGTTAGTCTTTTACAATTTAAGGTATTCCTAACTTAGGGGTGTCTTTATCTTACCAGAACTAGAGTAAGTGAACTGAAATTTCTCTCTCCCCTCCCCGCCCCCCATCCTGGTGGGTTTTTGTCTGTTATAGCTCTTTAAATATTTAGTTATGCTTTGCTTTTTTGTGAGCAGAATATAAAGCTTAATTTTACTGGTGTATTCAGTGACTGATCAGATAACTGTTCAATAGCGAAGATGTGTGTGTAAGGTTTCAGAGATTGTCATCTTCTGAGTAGCTAGTAATCTCTCACGGTGAGTGAAATGGCAGAAGGTTCCTATGTGGTGTCTTGAAGGCTTTCATTGTGCGAGGAGAGAAGAAATAATAGTCACCTACCACACTGCAAGTATTCACATAATGAGGTATAATTATGCCAGGAAAGTTAAGACATAGTTATGAAATCTTTTCTTTCTGGAAGCATTGTTACAAGTCAGTTGTAGTGACCTACCTAACTTGCAACAATAAGCTGAGCTAAACACAAGTCCATTGTATAAAGATTGTAGTAGTACCAGATCACCCAACTTCTCCCCCCATAAGGCATTGGTATTTTAATATTGCTTTCATGTGCTAAACTGACATCAAACCTGAAGTTACATTTTTAAGCTTTAATATTATTTATAGTGTCAAAAAATATTGTTGTCTAGTGAAAAAGAGAAAGAGTGGTATAGTAGTCCTTTCCCTCCAGAAAAAAAGGATACACCATGGAAAACAGCCCAGTGCTTATGGGTCTGAGTAGTTGCAAGAGGAACATTTCCTGAAAAGGAGCAGAATGATAGGAATGATCATGTTTTTATAAAAGAGTGTTTTGAGTCAAGCAGCAGAAGCTTCCCAGCTTTCTGAGAGCTCCTATACTGGAAGGACAAAGTGCTAGGTGTGCCGTGTTGGTGCTTGCTGTCCTCAATGAATTGTTTTCTTCTTCTTGTGATGTGGTCATAACTAAACTATGTCGCTGTTGTGATTGTATATATACATGTTATTAAGGAATTGTGTTACCTCCTAAGTGTGGTTTAGGACCTCATTTTCCTTTACTCTGAAGTGTTCATTTTCACTATTTGTGTGCCTGGCATCAAGAGAAAGATCTGGAAAAGGAGAACCCTCTTCTAAGCTTCAGCTCTTAACACATATGCGAATGTATGCAATTTGGTGCTACAGTAACAAAGAGACACTGCTTTAAGAGAAAATAAAAGAAGGAAATCTGGGTGAAGGTGATCAATCGCTAAAATATGAGCACTCACTTTTCCAAGAAAAGTAAGTAAATTCAGCAAAGTGCCTGAGAAGACGAGACCACTGCAACCTCAAGGAACTGGTAGATATGGTCTCTTGGGCAGATAATCTAAGAGACAAAAAAGTGTGGGAAGACTGTTTCTTGAAGAGCTTCTGTTGAAAAGAAAATGGTAGTCAATCCCAATGCAGAGGAAAAATAGGACACATATAATAGACTAATGAAGTTTTCAATCTAACAATCTAAGAAATCAAAAACCACAAAAATGTGAAAACAAGAGATTATTGTAAGCATAAGTCACAGACTATATCAGTGGGGAAGAAACAGGAAACCAGGCATAAAATCAGAAACAACCAGATGCAAAAGTAATTGCAACTAGCAAGATGTGAGAAATTTAACAAAACAAAAGGGTTTAGGAATACGTTAGACAAAAGGCAAAAATAAAGAAAGGTAGTGATCCTATTAATGAATGATTATGACAAGGCTGAAGTAATTGGTGTTTTATCCAGCAATGGATGACCACTGGAGTGCTGTTTCTAATAGGGGTGTCACACTGAAAGATGACCACCGATAGAGACAGATCAAAGAACAAGGACAGGAGATTTAAAGATATGCTTTTGAGGATGCTGAACGCACCAGTTTGTTTGGTTTTGCTTTCATAAAAGAAGTCAGTGTGATTCAGATGAAGAGTTATTTTCCAAGTTCAATGGGAAAAATCAATTCACTGAATTAGTGGCAAAGGCATTTAGTGGGGAAATTTTCTAAATGCACAGAGGGCAGTGACACAGTGTAGCTATTGAAGTTCTATGATTACCTTTATCCTTGCCTTCTTTAAAACCGCGTGATTCCAGTGGCAGAGGGAAATGGACAAGATGCTCTCCTTAGGTCTGTTCCTCTCCTACCTTTCTTGGACCCATAATCAAATTATATTCACAAATTTGCAGTGAATGTTGTAAAGGCAGAGTTCTGCCATCCTGAAATACTAGACTGAACCTTATGTAGATTATCAGAGCATGTACACACCAGAGGTACAAATAGCATAAGAGCCATTTTGGAGAGGATCAGATTTTCAGTAGTATCTGTTTCTGGCTGAGCAAAAAGTACCATATAAATATATTTTCCTTTGACACTTCTGCTTCTTATTCCAGTAAGATTTTTGACATGAAGGAGTATATAAGGACATAAAGTTGAGAAGGTATTAATGTACTTTCAACCTTCAAAACAATTTTTTTCGTGTGTTCTGGCTTCCAAGTATGTTGGAAGAAGCATTTCTCTTTATCTTACTTTATTGGATCTTGTTTGGTCGTGCCTTAAAGAAACATAAGTTTGCCCCAGATCATAGGGTAGTACATACTAATTAATAATATCTTTGAACTGGATTTCCAATAGCTGACATATTAGTCTTGCTAGATGGATTTCACTAATTCTATTCTAAATACTTGATACTTAAGAATCACCTCAGGTAAATTTTACAAGACATTCTTCTATTCCACATGACTTTTACATAGTCCACCTTGAGGATATGTTACTCTACATCCAGTCACAGGAGATGTCTTTACAGGAATACGATACAGCATATAAAGAACCCAGAGAGTCTGTAATTCTAAGGCATTTTACATTATGATGATTGTACCTCATAATTACCAAAAGCTTGAATTAACGGGAAAAAAAATTCTCCAAACCATCACCAGTTAATTCTGGAACTCTGTGACCCATCTCTGTCTTAATTTGCATGGCATTTAGTAAACAACATGAAAAAAAGCTACTGATCCGGTTGGATGACAGCATGATAATTCATAAACATTCTGTTTAGTCAAACTTTTCACTTTCTCAGACAAACGTATGCTTGCTTTTGTGCTCAGTCTTTCAGGAATTAATTATTCTTTTACTGGTACATTACCTACTAACTCAAAAAATCTAAACACAAATTGAAGCCAGTGAAGAGTATTGCCCTTTATATATCTGTCAAGGGTGTCTTAAAACCTAATAACCATGATGAAGAATGTACGACAAAATGAGAATCAAATGTATAAGAAACAGTTCTAGAGGACTACAGAAAGAATAATTATACACTCTATGAGTAGGTTCCTTTCTATCAGATTTATGTGATATTATTTGTGAAAGCTGTGCATGGATCCATGCTAGCAATGACTGGGAAGAGGCACAAGAGGATTGTGGATTTGCCCCCAGTAGTGAAACAAGGGATGCCTCCCTTGGAGAAATTTTTTGTTAGCATAAAGTTAATTTAGATGGTTCTGTGCCAATCCTTCAAAGTCCTGTAGGTGGAGAGGGAGTGTGATTAACAGTCTAGGAGAAGCCACCTCAAGTCAGAACAGCTCTGTGTTTCTGGATCCACAGAGGAGAAAAGCTTGTGCACACAAATGTACATAAAACCCTCCCACAGGCTGGTATTATGTTAATCACCCCCAACACACACCCTGTGATTTTTTTAATTTAAATCCTTTTCCTGTCAAGAAAAAAAAAGTCAAAGAGGTTAGAAAACTTGGTAATTTTGACTTGTTATTGAAGATTGAAATCTCACCACCACCACCCAGATAGGTACAAAATTAACATTGCAAGGACATCCCAGACTGAAAAGATAGATCCATTCAGTTCAATTGCACATATCAGGGTGATTCAGTCTCAGCAGACTCACTTGTATAATGACTGTGCCAGAATGTTCAAAGCTTTATATAGCAATGCCTAAAAACATCTCCAAAAGTCATTGCGTATAGCAGAGATATGATGCCGCTCCCAGGCAGCTGCACTATGAAGTTCAAGAGTTTATTTAATAGTCAGGGTGACCACAAAGCCAATGAATGTACACATTTATATATGAATGAAATCCCTGCTTTATTATAATCTACTTTGCTTTTATTGGTTTTGGTTATGGTATAAAAGAAGAATTTCTTAAAGGAGATCTATGGAGCTAAATGTAGAAGAAGAGTTTACAGTGGATTAATGAGGAGCTTGAGGATGTGGTCATTTTGAAAACAATTATGAATTTAATTTAAGTGTGAATATTTCTATTTAATAGCATAAATTTCAACCATCTTAGCTAAAAAATTACATTACTTTCTTTTTCTCCCATTTTTACCTTGGAGTCTATATGACTGGGAAAAAAAAAAGGGAAAAGACTAGAATACCTGTTTCATTATGGGCAGTTTAAATGCAGAAACTACTTGGACAGTACTTGTAGTCCTCAGGTTTTTTTTTCCGTATCAGACAAATGTTTGGCATTACTGGTTCTTTCCTTGTGATTTCATTTCTCTTTTACATAATCTGATTAATATAACT